GTTTTGCTTTCTTTGTGGTTACTACTAATATTATAAATGTGTTAGCATCATGGCAGCCTGGACAGGGAAGCTGTTAGAATTGGTCTCTGTCAGTGATGGCTTGTTTGCAAGCCACAGGGTCATCTTCAGGAGGCAGGAGCATACCATGGAGTAAAGACAGTCTCTTCAATAAATGATGTTGGGAAAATTGGACAGGTACATGAAAAAATGAAACTACACCGCCAACTTATACCATACACAAGAATAATCGCAAAATGGATAAAAGACTTAAATGTAAGATGTGAAACCATAAAAATCCCGGAAGAAACCATAAGCAGCAAAATCTCAGACATCTCTCGTAGCAGAATTTTTTCTGATACATCTCCTAGGGCAAGAGAAGCAAAGGAACAAATAAACAAATGGCACTACATCAAACAAAAAGCTTCAGCACAGCAAAAGAAACCATCAACAAAATGAGAAAGTAACTCACTGTTTGGGAGAACATATTTGCCAGTGACACATCTGATAAGGGGCTAATTTCAAAAAATGTATAAAGAACTCATGCAACTCAACAAAAGGAAGACAAACGATCCAGTTAAAAAATGGACAAAGGACCTGAATAGATACTTCTCCAAAGAGTACATAGAGATCANNATCAGAGAGATGCAAATTAAAATAACAATGAGGCACCTGCCAGAATGGCTACTATCAACAAATCAACAAACGACAGCTACTGGCGAGGACGTGGAGAAAAGGGCACCCTAGTACACTGCTGGTGGGAACGCAGACTGGTGCAGCCACTGTGGAGAACAGTTTGGAATTGCCTCAAAAATTTAAAAATGGAACTGCCATTTGACCCAATGATCCCACTTCTAGGAATATATCCTAAAATCCTGAAACACTAATCAGAAAGAATATATGCACTCCTATGTTCATAGCAGCGCAATTTACAATAGCTAAGATCTGGAAACAGCCCAAGTGCCCATCAGTAGATGAGTGGATAAAAAAGCTGTGGGACNTATCCTAAGAATCCTGAAACACTAATCAGAAAGAATATATGCACTCCTATGTTCATAGCAGCTCAATTTACAATAGCTAAGATCTGGAAACAGCCCAAGTGCCCATCAGTAGATGAGTGGATAAAAAAGCTGTGGGACATTTCACCATGGAATACTATGCAGCTGTAAAGAAGAAGGATCTCTTACCTTTTGAGACAGCATGGAGGGACCTAGAGAATATTATGCTAGGTGAAATAAGCCAGTCAGAGAAAGACAAGTATCACATGATCTCACTCATATGTGGACTCTAATGAACAAAATAAACTGATGAATAAAATACATCTAGAAGCATGGAAGCATGGAACAGACTGACAGATCTCAGATCTCTTAGTTGAGAGCAGAGAAAGGCATCAGGCTCCCATTCCTCAGAGTGTGCATGGTGGGGAAAAATTTAATTGCCCCAGCTTCTCCTCTTGTTTTCCATTTGAGTGCATGAAGACGTGAGAACACAAGCAGGTGACCTAGCTCAGGGCGCCCCTTAGCACTTCCTCACCCATGTTCTTCCTCCTCTCCCAATCCACCCTTTAACGTCAGCAGTTACTCCCCCAAACCCCTTCTGCACTCAGTGACCCACCTCTTAGCTCTTCTTGTCCAGCTGTTATGTGTACATTGTCCTTGGCCCCAAACTATACATTAAATGCATTATGAGCTCAAGACCCATATGCAACACTTCTGACCCCTGGAGCCTAGCTCTGTGCTGAGTATTGAGCCCCTGTTCCAAATGCTTTTTGACTTTTCAAAAATCACAGGGTATTTGACACTAGTGTCAGCAATTTTCATTGTCTTTTCTCTGTACTAAGTGATGTCTCAGCAGTGAGCTGGCATCAGAGGGGAGGATTCCATGTGAGGAGATTGCCAATATGCAAGATAGTTTGCAGTGAGAAAGTGAATGACATAAAACCAAGAGAAGGAGTTTATATTTGGAACTGAGTAACTATGTACAGGAAGTTAAAAATAAAAATTTAGCTCTTACATCTTTATTTTTATACATACTACCACCATGATGACCCTGAATAAGAAATGAAACTTAATTCTGATGTTCTTCAAGGATTATTGCCTTTTGCAATGGAAAGCGACAACTCGCCAATGTTTGCCGTTGGCTTCAAAGATGACCAAGCAGAGGTTGTAAACAAAGCCGTGCTGCTTCAAGTAATATCATTCCTTAGCTATTTTGCTAAACTGCATGTCTTTTTTTTTTTAAAGTCAGGGCTGAGGACATCTGAACTCAATATTCTGCTGAGCATAGTAACCAGGTTCATTGCCCAGCATACTTCATTGAAGACCATATGAATTTATGCAAATTTTGGTGAGCCGTGCAGTGATGTAAGGTTGGTTTTTCTAGTCAAATAATACTTTTAAAGAGTGCCAAAGCCAGATCTTAATCCCCATAGCAGAAGCAAACTTTATAAGAAATAAATCTGGGAATAAACCACTTCGGAGGCTTGCACAGAAAAATTAACCCAAAGACACAATTTAACTGTTAATGGGTGTCCTTTCTGGCCCTGTTAGGGGCGTGTAATCTGAGCTGAGTTTGCTGTGGAACACCCAAGTTGGCCACCTCCTCTGGCCGCATCCTACACTTAAGGGGAGCGGGTGACATGTGCTGACCTATTCCTGTTTCCCCCATGGAAAGGTCCTGAGAGGTGCAGCAAGGTGAGGGATTTAGATAATGCAACAGCACACCTGCCAAGAGGAGTGCCCTTGTACTTTTAGGAAGAAAGATAGGAAAGAATCTGATCATTGACCCTCAAAGGGTTCCCCTAGATTATCAGACACATCTGGGCACCCCTGAAAGAGCTCTGTAGCCGAAGCCTTGAGGCAGCTGCAGGTACGTCATCATCAGTGTACCTTGTTGCAAAAATCATTCCAAACCTCAAGACAGCTAGAGAAGAGCATGAAACCAATCGCAGACCCCTTTCGAGGACCGGGCCCTGTGAGACTGCACAGGCTGTACACCCAAAAGCTGGTTCTGCCTTGAGAGCTAAGTGCCTAATTTCAAAATGCATTGACATCCTCAGGAAGACTTAAAGGAAATTAAGGAATGCAAACCAACCAACAAATTGGCTGCCAGGGACACTGACAGTGTATGTATGTATGTGTGTGTATGTGTGTGTGTGTGTGTGTAATGCCTAGATCCCACCACCAGCCCTTCAGTACCTTTGGCATCTTCGGAGGTGAAAACTCACCCACCTGATTAGCACAGATCAGTCTGCCTCCCAGGAGGTGCCTGGGATCATGTAATTCAAGTCAGGGGCAGGTGGGGGGGAAGCCACGGTAAACCAGCCTCGTCCCCCGTTTCACTGACTCCCTTTCTCTGACTTCCTACATGTATAATCTGCCACCTCTGCACAACAGCAGAGCGATCTTCTAAAAAGAGTATCTATCCTGGCCCCCTGCCCCCTTTCCCTGCCGAAAATACCCAAATGATGTTCTGGTACCTTAGAGTCCAGGTGAGAATCCTCACCTTGACACCAGGGCTGTGTGTGTGCTCGTCTCTTGCGGACTCTAACCACACCCAGCCTCCAGTGCTGTCCACTTCTTTCTGCCTCAGATATTTTGTACACACTTTTCCCTCCACCTGGAATGGCTTTCCTGCTTTTCATCCCTCCCCTGTGGTTTTCCTCTTCCTCCCACCTTCCCTCTTTCTTGAGATCACAGTTTACATGCTTTTCCAACCCTCCACTCGTGCATTCCGCACCCCCCCACCACCAGCAGTTTAGGTTATGCAGACTCGTTGCACCTTTAATTTGTTTTAACGTCTGTCATCTGACTAGACTGTAAGCACCATGAGGGTGGAATCATGTCCATTCTGTGCATCATTCTGTCCCCAGACCTAGTATAGTGCCTGGAACATGATGGGTGCTCAATAGGTGTCTGTTGAAAGTATGAATGGATGTTCCACACAGTTTGCAGTTTACACTTAATTATACAATAGCTTATATTTCTTGTCCTTTGCTCATTTCACCGGTTAGTTTTGAAACTCTGACATCAGGCCACATTTCTGTTTTTCTGCATCTTCCACAGTGCTCAACGGGTAGGTAATACGTAGTCAAGGAATGTTATTGACTAATAGCTTGTGAGCATTTTACACATTCAGCTTCCTACCATTCCAGCATAGAGAACTAAGAGAGAAAATCAATTATGCATTTTGTGTGTGTAAGTTGTTATACATACTTTTTTGCTGATTGGTGAGGTAATAAGCAAAGCTAGACATAATCTTATTTATAGGATTTGTGCCTCTAAAGGAAAATTCAACTCTGATGTAAATCTCTCCCTCACAATCTTAGGTTATTGATTTTGGAAATGGTCTCGATATAAGACGTTAAAGGACTGGTTGTGTTCAGTGTACTCTGAGGTAAATGCATCATCTGTTTAGGCATATAGTCATGCGCCTCTTAGTGACAAGGATTTGTTCTGAGAAATGCATCCCTAGGCGGTTTTGTCCTGTGCGAGTATCACTTTGAGCACTTACACAAACCTGGATAGCGTAGCCTACCACACACCCATGCTGTGTATAATCCTACGGGCCCGCCACAGCGTATGCGGTCCAGCATTGACCAAAACGTCGTTGTAGGGCGTGTGCTGAATATAAATGTGCACAGTCCCATGTGTGATGGTAACAACTGTTAGAATTTGCCTGGCAAAAGGGATTAATGTGCTGTCATTCTTTCCTATAAGATCACTTGTCCTCAACTCCTTGTTCAAAACGGAATTTGTAAGGTGGATGTTCAGTGATACAAATCTTAATGAAATGCTCAGGGGCAGTATGTTTTCCTGGGTAACTTTTACAACTGGAACTTTGACCCACTGGGCGTCTAGTTCTATCCAGTCTTTCTGACTCACTTCTTCCTCTTGCTGTGTTGTTTTTATAGATTGAAGACCTTGATAGCATTGAAAATATTTTCAGTGTAAACTATTAATAATAGTTTATTTTCTCACTTTTTTTTCAAATGTCTTTTGCAGACAAGAAGTCCCAAACTGTCTCACAGTCCTCAGCCTCCCAGTTTGGGCGACCCTGTGGAGCATTTATCCGAGACCTCTGGAGACTCTTTGGAAGCCATGTCTGAGGGAGAAGCTCCAAGTCCGTTTTCCAGAGGCAGCCGAACTCGAGCGAGCCTCCCGGTGGTGAGGTCGACCAACCAGACAAAAGAAAGATCTCTGGGTGAGCCTCACAAAGTAGTTTCTGATGTCCCTTTATTAGTGCATGTGTCCATTTTTATACTTCTGAACGCACACTCCTGTAACGGGACGTTAATTTGATCTAGATTTGTCAAAACACGAGTCCTGAGAACCTTGATTGATTGAACAGCAAGCATGGAGATTTGCCTGCTGGGGAAGCAGCAAGTCTAAGATGTCGTTGGGACTGGGCACATTCAGACCTGCAGGGGTTAGCTACTCGAGCCAAAACGCTAGCTGCACTTGCCTGTGTTCTTGGTATAGGGAATAGTGGGGGACAGACTGCAGAATGAGCCTTGTTTCTCAGGAACCTCCTTTCCCGTCTCAGAAGCCTAGACAGTTGGGGTGTGGGTCCTGGGATGTGGGTTTGCACCAGCCCCACGCTGCTGTCTCGCAGTCCCAAAGAGGATGTGAGTGGCTCCAGGAAAAAGAGGTGCAATGTGGCCGAAACTCCCATGACTGTGAGTGAAAGCTGCAAACTCAGGGCCATTCATCCCACCACCACAGGAAAGGATGGAGGGGCTTGGCGTGCATTTGGCGAAGCTTTTCCTTTCAACGAGCTTTTAAGAACAATAGTAGGTTTC